TATATATATATATGCATATATATATTAACATAAATATATACACATACAAAGAGGAGTGTCCTTTGATCACAATTTTAGTGACCTTAGTGACCTGAGCAGTTTTGTCACCTATAAGAGAATACAATTTGTTAACATCTCAATTCCCATCAAGCCAACAATCGGAAATAAGCAAGTTGTTGTTAACAGGTGCTTGAGCATATAAATTCCAGTCCCCAAAACTCCATTGATCGTGACAAAAAGAGATATTACCCTCTCCAATGTCCTAAAAATAAAATTACTAGCGATCTAGCCTTAAGGATTTCTTTCCAAAGTTTTGAGTCTCCCACTTTCCATTGAACAATAGCCGGGTTTAAATGAACACTATATTTATGAAGAAAGAATCTAGCCCATAAAGAACTATTAGCATGGAATTTAAACCAAATCTTGCTCATATTAGTTTCAGAAATTTGTTTCAATCTCTTAAAGCAAGTAGATATAGGCATGCAAACCTTAGAGAAAGTAGTCCAATGTTTTCTAGATTGAGTGCCCGACCAAAGAAAATGATTAAACAGTCTCTCCAAAACGATCTGTATGTTCTTTTTAAGATTTAGAATTTGTAATGCATATAAAGGAATGCTCAACAAAACACTTTTGAGTAAGTTGATTTGTCCACCATTAGAGAGAAAAGTGTTCCTCCATCCATTGATTTTATGTTTGATTTTATCCACCACTTCATCTAGCTGTATTTGTTTGTGGTGCCCCCTACACAAATTAACATCCAGATATTTGATACACCAAAAATATATGCATTTTTAGACCCATATTTTATACTTATTTTTAGTGATACTGCACTTTAATGGAAGGTATTTTGATGTTTTCTTGCAGGTTATTGATTTTTAGGGCTTAAAACAAAATAGAAGCAAAAAAAGATGAAATTTAAAGTCAAAATGACATTTTTTAGGAAATACTCAGCGCTGGCAGCGCAAAGCTCAGCGCCAACGGCACAGAACAATTGAAAGCTGGAGAAATTTTACTCATCACCAACGGTGCCAGACTAGTGCCAAAGGCGGTTCAAACCCCATTTCTAGAAGGTTTGATGTATTTGGACAATTTTTGAAGACTTTTTAGAGGCATGTCTTGGAGAACCGACCTTGGGCTTTTTTTAGGGCCGAATTTTATCAGAAAACAAGCTCCTCTACATTCATTTTTTGCTCCACAACATTCCAACATGCCACATTTTCATAATCCATCTTCATTCCACCATCATATTGGAGTCAATTAGTAATTTTGCTTTCATAGTTTAGAGTTTTTGGGGTGAGATTTAGTGTGAAACTTTCTTTAAGAGTGTTGGAGAAGGACAAAAGTGAGAGAGCAAAAGTGAGAGAGTTAAGTGAGAGAGTTCTTCTTCCTGCATTTCTAAGGAAATGCTACAAAGGATTTGCTTTGAGATAGAGTTCCAGATAATTTTCTTTATTTATTTAGTGTTGTATGAACTTTTTTTTATATTTGAAATTTGTGTTTTGTTGTATCTTTCTTATGAAGCCTGAGTAGATTCCTTTATCTTTCTCCCTATTCTGAGATATGGTGAAATGAAGAAATAATGTGGATGTGTCAATGTTAAAATTTAAAATAAACTGTGATGGTTTTTCAACTCCGCTCTTAATTTACTTTTTGATCTGGCCAACTGAATTTTTAAAATATGCTGTGAAACATATGATCCGGGAAATGGAGTATGAGTTCTAAAACAGAGCAAGAGTCACACTTCATGAAGGAGGAATTCGTTCAAGAAATTATGTGCAAAAAATAGGAAAATATTCTTTGTTGGGTGTAGAATTGGAGAATTTTTAGGGTGACAGATTAAAATCCTCATATTAGTCTTAGTGTTTAAAAACTAAAGTGAGAGTTAGCCTTCAGGTGAAGGGAAGTGGGACTCTGGAGTGGGAGTCGGTATCCTTCCTGCCCTGCCACAGAATTTGGGGATAAACCTAAACTTAAGATTAACCAATGATTTTCTATGCACTGTATCAGGGTAGAAAATTAAAATTATTCCTATTTGGTAAAATACATATTATAAACATTTATCTCATCTCATTTTACCAGAATTTCATTGTAGTGGGAAGGATACTTTTTCACATAAGAAATCTTCATTACAAAAACATAGTTAGTAGATTGATAGTTATTATTCAAAATTTGCATTTCAGTTTTGCTAATAGTTAAGTAATTTAGTTTGGTTAATATCTCAACATTTGAAAATAGTGACAGTAATTTCATTTGATTTTTTGTAAATTTCCTGATAAAATTTATCATTGTTAACTTACATCTTCCCCGTGGGATCAATATTTTGGGCTTAAATAGAAAGTCCATTATTACTTTATAACGATACATATACTTGTGTAGAATCTCATTATTAATTGTCTATAATTATATATATTTTACATAACTTACTTTCATATAAGGATCAAGTTTTTGGTGCTGTAGTGGTGTTAACTTCATAAATCCTTACATATAAAAATCGGGATTTAAGTTTTTGGCGCCGTTGCCAGGGAAGGTAATGGTTAAACTTAATTAAATTAAATAGCTTTGATAAATTAAGAAGTTTAGATAATATATATATACAAATATATAAAAGCACAAATATATATATAT